CTTTAATCCTAGCACTTGGGAGGCAGAGACAGGTGGATCTCTGTGAGTTCAAGGCCAGCCTGGCCTATAGATCAAGTTCCTGGACAGCCAAGCCTACACAGAGAAATCCTGCCTCAATAAACAAACAAGCAAGCAAATAAATAAATTCAGTTTCTCAGGGGCATCATCACTTGTCAAATACTTCATCATCATCACTCTGGCTGGCTGAGACCTCATTGGTCGGCACAAAACAGAGCACTCCCTCATCATACAAGCTCTACCCACCAGTGATTATAGTCTCAACTTTACATTCACATTTTTCAGGAGGGCCAGGAAAAAAGAATTAGTAAGACCTGGGTTTGCCAAACCATTCCCTAACTAGCTGAGGCCATTCATGTCTCTCTCAGTCAAATGGATGTGCATTCAAGTCACAATATTGCTAATGCATAGCTTCTAATTCACTGGGTCTGGATGAGCCGAGGGTCAGAACCTTTAACCAGCTCCCAAGTGATATGGCCTTAGATCCTACTGGGCCTCAGTTTACTTAACTGTTAAATGATGTAGCTGGGGCAAAATGTTCATGCCACCCTTTCAAACGCTCTCATGCAGTTTTATGGTTGCAGAGGCAGATTTCCTTGAAGTAAATGTTGAAGTTTTTACATCCTAAAACCTTTGTATTCCTTTTGTGTATATGACCTGTGTATGTGAGTGCATTTGCCATGGCACACATGTAGAGGTCAGAGGACAACTCTGGAATCAGTTCTCTCCTTTCACCCTCACATGAAATTACTGAGATCTGTGTCAGGTCAACAGGCTCCCATAGCAAGCACCTTAACCTGCTGGGCCATCTCACCAGGGCAACATTCTAACAGTTCTTTTTCTTTTCCTTTATGTTTCTTGAGACAGGGTTTCTCTGTGTAGCAACCCTGGCTGGCCTAGAATTCACTCTATAGACCAGACTGGCCTTGAACTCACAAAGATCTGCCTGCCTCTGCTTCCTGGGTGCTAAGGTTAAAGGCAGGCATGCACCATCATTTAAAAACAAAACACACACACAACGCAAACAACAAACTCTAGCATCTTGGTGTCACATGCCTGTAATTTCATGAGGCTAAGGCAGAGGGATTAAGACATTTGTGGCAAGCCTAGGCTATGTAAGGCGCCGTCTCAGCAAACAAAATTAGGAGGGGTGCCTTTCAGGAAGAGATACTACATTTTCCAAACACAATTCATGGAGAGAAATTCATGGAGGCTCTGGCATCAGCTCACAGGAGCAGCTCCCTGGCAGTAAGCCATGGGGTACAGTGACATCATTTTTATGTTTGTAATGTCTGAGTACTAAGCAATAAAACTGACCAAGACCCTGATACTGTAGGCAGGTTATAGTACAAGAGTCCAGCAGAGGACTGTCAACAATGTCACAGAGAAGTGACTTTAGAGGCATCTTCCTGGTTTCACAGAAGCCCTGAAGTAACACAGGCTGGCAGGAACAGTGCAAATAAGGAACTGGAGAGCAGTGTCAAGAACTGCCCACCTCACAAAGCAACACCTAAGAGAAAGCTTGTTAATGCCTGAATTACGTACACCAGTTAATAACCTGCATTTAAAAAGCCCACATGCTCAACTTCTAAGTAATATGATGCTTTGAAAAATCTCAATCCTTTTTCATTTGTATGTTTGTATTTCCTTTAGTAGACAATATTAAGCACGAATTAATCTTTGTTACAATTTCAAAATGTATCCAAAGATTTAATTCAAATCCCTAACATATTTTACTGCCCAGCAAACTTCCCAAGAAACTCTGAGAGAATGAACAGTCTATAAGTAACAAATGGAGGAGGAGATGATTTCATTAATTTCCTCACTTAGGAAACAAAGTGTCTTCTATCTGTCTGTATTCCCTCAATTTTTTTTTTTAGGCAGGTCTCACCATATGGCTCTGGCTGGGCTGGAGCCCTCAATGTAAACTGGACTATCCCAAACTCACACAGTCCTGCTGGTAAGCACACCCTGCCCCAATCTTATTTTAAGCCAGTTTGTTAAATGCTGGTCATGAAATATGTCCAAATATCTATTTTATCACTTAAGTCCTAAATTTGGAACTATTTATTCATTCAGTGCATCTCTTTAAAAACTACTGATTAAAAACGGTGCTTGTAACAATGCCGATTTCAACTTGTCTTTATTAAAATAGAAAATTCCCGGGGCTGGAGGGATGGATGGCTCAGCAGTTACAAGCACTGGCTACACTGGCTACTCTTCCAGAGAACCCAAGTTTGAATTCCTAGCACCCACATGGCAGCTCACAACCCTCTGAAACTCGAGTGTCAGGAGACCCAATGCCTTCTTTGGGCTTCTCTGAGGGTACTAGGCAAATGGTTCATAGACATGCATACAAGCAAAATATCCATACCGATAAATTAATAACAACTTTAAAATACAGAAAATGCACGAATATCACAAGAAAACACTATGTAGGTATAACAGCTCCTACTAAACTCTGGTGGTATTTGTACAACACTCAAACCAGTACCTTCTAGATATTATAAAGATAACTTGTACATAATCAATAAAAACCAGTCCATTTCCAACAAGACTATAATATACTACCTGCCCTTTATAATAACATGCTAACAAATACCTTAATAGTAACCAAAGACCTGATAGTATCAACATTTAATTTCAGCAACTAACCAGCAATTGACTTTTTATCTTTTCTTTCAAAAATGTTATACAATTGTTATCTGTTGGTACTGAATATCCTTTTAAAAGGCAACTTAAGAAGCCATTACTTTGGGGGAGTACTATTCAGAGAAAAGAGAACTATGATATGGACAGAAACACTTTAGCCTATCATTTTTTAAAAAGAAAGAAAAAGAAAGAAAGCCACGTAGTAGCTAGTAGCGGCAGTGGGCAGGGTGAGTCATCACCCAGCTTTTGAAACTTGCAGCCTACTTCTGAGCCGCCTCCCACCCGACCCCAACCCCTTCACAAGGTACTCTGAGTCAGCAAGCCTTACTATTTGGTCAGTTATGAATTCTCACGATGCCTACATGAACTTATGTAAAATGCTGCAGTGTTCTTAGCGCTCCCACTTGTCTTTAAAACGGTCGCCTTTTCTACTGCAAAATTAAATGTTCAAGTCAGGCTTCTCCACATTCTTTTTTAATCGTCGAAAGTGGGCAGGCTACTTTTAATCCTTTTCTGCAAATGACTAAATTCCAAAATACCCTCATATAGAAAGCTGATTTTAAACAGTTTTTCATTTCCCAGGGTCTATTTTTTTCTGAACAGTAATACTGAAGAGACAATCTGGCAAGCTTCAGAGATGACAATTATTGATTAGGACATCAGTAAGCAAGGTTTATGATGGAATTTGATTAACTAATACAACATATATGTTCAAGTACCCTACAAACAGGTTTTTAACTACAAAGCTAAAGGTATTTTCTTCCACCCAATTCAAAATTATTTCCAAACACCAAAACCTGTCATTTCTAAGAAAACGCTACAGCTGACGATAAGGATGCACACGTGTTAAGCCCAGCAGGAAGCTGAGGCAGGAGAATCGTCTCTCAAAGCCTAGCTGGGACTACGTGGCGTGGCGTGGCGTGGCGTGGAGAGACCGTCTCAACAAACAAACAACAAAAACCCTTTGAGGGCCGGACCCTGTTTAGACCCTACATTCTTCTCTACTCAAATCATTCTTTCCAACTCAGCTCTCCAACGTTAAAGAGACAGAACGTGAAAAAACAGAATTTTACCAACAGAAAACACGCTAGAATAATCAACAATTAGAAAATTATTCTGAAGCTAGTTGCTCTTCGCTTGATGGCCTGTGAATGCTTTTTCCCTCCGACAATCATCTGTAGCCATAAAAAGTTAATACCGCGACTGCCTCGGGACTCTTAGCAACGAACACGGGCTGTTCAAATTCAGTAAAGAGACCTCCTAACTCCCCCTTTACCAGGTCCCTTCGCTCGATCTTTCCCTACTTTCAAGCCAGAGAAAGGTAAAACAGGGAGGCAGTCTAAGGTAGCCTGCAGCACGCAGCTCCCCCAGGCACCTGAGCCGGAGAGTCCACGCCAGGCAGGAACAAAAGGCGGCCGAGAGCCCTCCACTCCACACAACCCCCAGGTCGGATTGTAACAGGCTCTCAGTGAGGAGGCCTGTAACCGGTAACGTACGTTTTCATCTGGGTTGTTTTTCCGGATCACACCTTAACGTCTGGAAAGGTGTCAGGAGCCCTGTCTCAGGCCGGTCGCCGGCACCTCGTGGACCGCCAAGACACAAACTTGGGCGGACTTAGGGGCTGGAGCAGAGCGCCACGCAACGTGCCGGGAGACTTTGCCCGGCCCGAGTCAGCTGAGGCCGAGTCACCCGGGCGGGCTGGGGGAGGAGACAGGAGGAGGTTAGGGAGGCAGCGAGCCAGGAAGGCAAACCTCC